ATACATTGTAGGTGTGGGGATGTTGTGTTTTATACAGTTATACATTGTAGGTGTGGGGATGTTGTGTTTTATACAGTTATACATTGTAGGTGTGGGGATGTTGTGTTTTATACAGTTATACATTGTAGGTGTGGGGATGTTGTGTTTTATACAGTTAATACATTGTAGGTGTGGGGATGTTTCGTTTTATACAGTTATAAATGTAGGTGTGGGGATGTTGTGTTTTATACAGTAATACATTGTAGGTGCGGGGATGTTGTGTTTTAAAAGTTATACATTGTAGGTGCGGGGACGTTGTGTTTTATACAGTAATACATTGCAGGTGTGTGGATGTTGTGTTTTATACAGTTATACATGGTAGGTGTGGGGATGTTGTGTTTTTTACAGTAATACATTGTAGGTGCGGGGATGTTGGGTTTTAACAGTTATACATTGTAGGTGAGGGGATGTTGTGTTTTATACACGAATACATTGTAGCTGTGGGGATGTTGTGTTTTATGTTATACATTGTAGGTGTGGGGACGTTGTGTTTTATACAGTTAATCCATTGTAGGTGTGGGGATGTTGTTTTTGATACAGTTATACATTGTAGGTGCGGGGACGTTGTGTTTTATACAGTAATACATTGTAGGTGTGGGGATGTTGTGTTTTAACACCCGCCTGGGCTGCATCACCCCTGACAACACTGTCACACCTCTGATGGAATACACAAAGGACTATCTGGACCGCCTTGGTAACCATTTCTACAAAGCCATTCCGTCATACATGTTTTACAAGACAAAATACTATCTGAAGTTCGAGGAGGCTGCAGACTACCTCTACAGGTACTACCTTCTGAATCATTCTAATTAAACTATTGTAGAGGGGGACATGGAATATATACAACTTTTACTGACATCAAAGCATGCCCTGTTGTATTGATTATCTCATCCAATGTATCGATTGTAGCTTCGTATGATATATGTTCATGTATGACCTCAATCATTTGAGATACCTGAAATACTGAACTCTTTGATTGTATAAACCAACTATATATCATAAACCCAGAAAAAGAAGACGGGGACATTTAAAGGCACGACATACTATTGTCACTTTAGGAGAGATATAAAATCTCAAATCCGGTTTTCCTATCCTCTTAACCCTTTCACCCCTATGTAACTTTAGTAGACTCTACCATGCATTGATATGGATGGGTCCATTTTGGTCTACAGTTTTGAAAGGGTTAATGCATATACATGTATGTTATGAAAATGTTTAATGATTCAATAAAATTTGTTTAAATGAAATAAACGGTAATTATAGCTTTAAATATTTGACCAGCACGGCAGATAAGCATATTAACAGGACATTAAAGGACATTCAACGAGCTTCCGATGACAACGCCGAGTATGAAAGAAACCTCTTATCTGATCTCCTGTCAACTCCTGGGCTAACTACCCAACAAGTTCGTCGTACAATTACGGATGTTTTCATTGGCGGAATTGATTCTGTAAGTCCAAAATTATAATTTTTATAATTTTTGTTTGTTTTTATCATTTTACTTTGATAAAAATACGAAGGATATATACTACTTTTATAAGGATGAAAATGGCAGTCCAGACGGGAATTTGTCAAATTTTCAAGCCAGTCTGCCCTCTTTTCAAGATATTAACATTAAAATAAATATCACAAAATAGACAAAAATACCTATATTTTTGTATGTTCATTATTATCTTTGAGATCTATAGTTTTGTTTGTGCGTCATAATTTTACGGGATCTGTTGTTTTGTTTACCGGTAACTGTTATTATTGGTGAGATTTATAGTTTTATATGTGTAAAACGTTCCTGTCACCATTATAACAACATCAGTTTACTAACGGTATTATGTAGACGGTATTATGTAGACGGCCAACACTGTGACATTCCTATATGAGTAAAACGTACCTGTCACCATTATAACATCATTAGTTTACTATGGCTATTGTGTAGACGGCCAACACTGTGACATTCCTATATGTGTAAAACATTCCTGTCACCATTATAACATCATTAGTTTACCATGGCTATTGTGTAGACGGCCAACACCATGACGTTCCTTCTGTTCCATCTGGCCAAAAACCAAGACAAACAGGATCGCCTGTTCAAAGATCTCGTAGAACATGTGCCAAAGATGGGGGAAATCCAAGAGGACACCATAAACAAAATGCCCTACCTCAAGGCATGCCTGAAGGAGTCCTTCCGGTCAGTGAAATAAACAGTTTTCAATGTATTTTGGAATATATACATTAAGATGTTAACACATATGATGTAATATGAGGTTGTATTTTTAGCTCACCTGGCCTGAAGGGCTATGTGAGCTCTTGCCGTACTGCGGTTTCTTCAGAACTGGAGGACCTAGGGTCACGACATCTGACCAGTAGGTAGATGGGATGAAGTGCTATAAATTTTCCTCATTAAAATGACCTTGACCTTCTTTCAAGGTCACAGGGGTCAAATATGTTAAAAACTTCAAACAACAATATCCTACGAACCGTTTGATCTAGAGTCATAATACTTGGGTATGTTATGTAGACCAGCTGTGTGAATCATTTTTAGCTCACCTGGCACGAAGTGCCAAGTGAGCTTATGCCATGGCGCGGCGTCCGTCCATCCGTCCGTCCGGCGTCAATATTTTACTTTAAACGACTTCTTCTTAATAACCGAAAGGCCTAGGGTGTCGATATATGGCCAGAAGCAAACTTGGATGAAGGGCTACGAAGTTTGTTAAAAATAATGACCTTCACATATTTTCAAGGTCACAGGGGTCAAATATGTTAAAAACTTCAAACAACAATATGCTACGAACCGTTTGATCTAGAGTCATGATACTTGGGTATGTTATGTAGGCCAGCTGTGTGAATCATTTTTAGCTCACCTGGCACGAAGTGCCAAGTGAGCTTATGCCATGGCGCGGCGTCCGTCCATCCGTCCGTCCGGCGTCAATATTTTACTTTAAACGCCTTCTTCTTAATAACCGAAAGGCCTAGGGTGTCGATATTTGGCCAGAAGCAAACTTGGATGAAGGGCTACGAAGTTTGTTAAAAATAATGACCTTCACCTATTTTCAAGGTCACAGGGGTCAAATATGTCAAAAACTTTAAACATCTTCTTCTCAATAACCAAAATGCCCAGGGAGTTGATATTTGGCCAGTAGCATGCTTGGGTGAAGGGCTACCAAGTTTGTTCAAATGAATGACCTTCAATTATATTCAAGGTCACAGGGGTCAATTGTATTAAAAAA